TTTATAAAAGAAGCCTTGGGACCAGAAAATGCTGATAGAGTAAGCAGGAGAATAATTCAGTAGGAATAATATGTATAATCAACTTTTAATGCTAACATACTTTGAGGTTGGTTTGTTTTTATGGCTGATCTGGGTTATTTTTTAATACCAGGCCAGCTTCTCTGCACTGTCTAGCAATATCAGGTACCCCTGCTACTTAGCCTGTATGTTCTCAAGAAAATGTAACTTATTTAACATTGTGATGAGGGAAAAAAATGTAACTAGGGAAAAAAGAAACTATTTATAAAACATACTTAATGCTTTCCAAAGGCAACCTTTAGCTCCTTGGTTACAACCTGTGGAGGTATATTTCTTTGTCAGCAGCTAGTTGAGGTATGTGCTGTGTTTGGTGGTTAATGATAGTATGTATGTTCCTGTCAGGAAATACTAGGAGACCTAGTGGTGCAGTGGTTATCTATTCAGCTGCTAACTGAAAGATCTGCAGTTGAAATCCACCAGCTATGCTACAGGAGAAAGATGTGGCAGGCAGTCTGCTTCTGTAAAGATTATAGCCTAGGAAACCCTATGGGGCAGTTCTTAGTTGAACAGAAGTTGTTAATTTATTACTTATATTTCTTCTGGATATTTGTGAATTGGATAAAATCAGTTTATGTTTCCATGATCCCAGTGCTATCTCCTTTCCCTCCTCTCTGCTCTTCTACACTCTACCCTTGATAACACAATACACTTTCCTCAGATGCGTATCACAGACTCACCAGAAAAGATAGTAAAATGTAAGTGACCTTATTAATGTCAATCTTATCTTAAATATTATTATGTCATTAGTATGCTCTTAGCTTACTTTTTAACATGTATGCCAAAAGATCAGTTTTCTAAATAAAGGATCTAAGAAAGTAAAGCTATTAGAAGTAGAAAACTAATTTATATTATTGTAAGTAATTTGTTTCTGTTCTCTCCTATTTTTGAATTAGCATTTCTCTAAATGGTCACTAAAGAATCTACTCCTTTCCACTTCTGAGGAACAAACTGAAAGATGTTTTATAATTGAAAATATGAACACTCTTACTATAGTAGAAGAAACTAATCAAATTGATGAAGATCACAGAAAATACAGTTCCCAAACTAGTCAAGATTCAGGAAACTATTCTAATGAGGATGAAAATAGCGGAGGTGATGTAAGTGAAGAAGTTCTACTGCAGGAAATCATGTGACCAGAAATCAACTAAAAAATATTAGGGAAGTTTGTGGAAGTTATTCTGGGAACCTGCTCTTTTCAGTAACTAAAAAGCAGATATTTGGTTGTTGGGAAAGAAAAAAATATTAAAATCATGTTGTTGTTTGTTGTTGTTGTTACGTGCCATCAAGTCAGACCCAACTCATAGCGACCCCTCCTTGGGTTTCCGAGGTGGTATCACTACGGAAGTAGATTGCTCAACCTTCCTTCCGAGGAGTGGCTGGTGGGTTTGAACCGCCAGCCTTCTGGTTAGCAGTCAAGTGCCTTAGGCACTATGCTACCAGAGCGCCTGTAAAAAATTTTAGGGGGATTTTAGCCATTTATCCCAAGAACCATTGTCTTCTGCAATACCAGTCACCTACACATTACATGATATATGGTTAAAACCTGTAGTCTCTTGATTATACATTAAGACTTCCTGATTAGTGGCTTATTAAACAAAGCTTGATTAGAATTCACAATCACTAAGGTTATAGGGAAATGGGTACCTATCTAATTAGGGAACTTACTGTTATTTTTCAGGATCTAGGAGCATACAGAGGTGAGTCATAGTTTATAAAAGAAGCCTTGGGACCAGAAAATGCTGATAGAGTAAGCAGGAGAATAATTCAGTAGGAATAATATGTATAATCAACTTTTAATGCTAACATACTTTGAGGTTGGTTGGTTTTTATAAAGGCTGATCTGGGTTATTTTTTAATACCAGGCCAGCTTCTCTGCACTGTCTAGCAATATCAGGTACCCCTGCTACTTAGCCTGTATGTTCTCAAGAAAATGTAATTTAACATTGTGATGAGGGAAAAAAATGTAACTAGGGAAAAAAGAAACTATTTATAAAACATATGTAATGCTTTCCAGAGACAACCTATAGCTTATTTTTGAATTATTTAATATTTGGGATTACCCATTGTTATCTTTCTTTTGAAGGAAGTCTAGGAATTCTGGTGGTTCTAGGGCAAAATCCTCAACTTGAGTTGTTGAAACAAGGACCAATGAAAGAGAAAGGAGGTAAAGTTACAGAGAGTATGCTAGTCTTTACTGAGGTAACAGGTACATCTTGGTGGAAGAAAAAGTTGAAAAAACCTTCTTTGGAGAGGTCTGTGATGTGCAACACGTCCCCAACACCAAAGACAATATGATACTTCTTGCTAGACCTGCAGTCCACAGTTCCCGAATCATTTTAGCAAAGTACAAGGGGTGATCGTGGAGGCCAAGGATCTCCTTGGAGACACAGTTCTTTGGTGGAGAATCCCCAGTGTGACCCAGGGGCCTTTGGTTTAAAGTAGATCTTCTGGCTTGACCTTACATATATGAAGGTCCTGACACCTTCCAAATTTGTCTTAAAGAGGAGATTAGGAACCTTTAACGACCTGCTACCATTGGCTTTCACACTGCCAGTGTAGTGGCCCTACCCAGCATTCAGGTCCTGGATTTACTATAGTAAAAACTTCCTGGCTAGCCTAAAAAGAAACACCACCTTTGTAAACTGTGGAGAAGAGAAAACTTAGACATTGAAAAATAAAAGACCAACGAAACAGTTAGATTTCTTACATGTGGGAACACATTTCTTTAAATGTAAGTGTTAAGGCAGTTTGTGTTTCAGTGAATAAGCACCAGAGCAGCTAGTGGGGGTAGGGGGATTTCTTTATTTTTACCTGGTCTTCTACACATGAAATTGGCATTTGTATTCTGTTCTTTATTGTGTTCTACACGTTGCTTAGGATGTGTTTACCTGTGAAGTGTTAGGTTGTTTTTTTTAAAAAGTATTTTACTTGGAAATACTATGTACTTGGCATCAGTCAATTGCCTCAATATCACAATATTGATAGTTCTTGTACTGGCTGGATGTAATAACTCATATGAAAGAATTGTATTTTTAGAACCAGAAATATTAATATATGTAAGTATTGTATATGGTGTATTTATGTACATATATATAAACAGTAGCATGGACCTATAAACATACACACAGACACCTATACACATATACATGGTAGGGACCTTATTCCATTAGTATGGCCATAAAGTACTTATTAGTATAGATTCTAACTAGGAAACTAGAAATACTGCTCAGAACTATGAACTTTAGAATCTAACCAGAAATTTGCAACCTGTAAAACTTATTTTAAGGATATAATTTAGCATTTGTATTATTTTCCCAAAGGAACCCTGGTAGCACAGTGGTTAAAACTCTGGGCTGCTAACTTAAGGTTGGCAGTTCAAACCCACCAGCCACTTCATGGAAGAAAAATATGGCAATCTGCTTCTGTAAAAATTACAGCCTTGGAAACCTTATGGGGCTGTTTTACTCTGTTCTAGAGGATCGCTATGAGTTGGAATTGACTGAAAGGCAAATGATTTGAGGTTTTGTTTTTATCTTTTTTTTGTATTGTTTTCCCAAGGTATAACCTTGGGAGCTCTAGTGGCATAGTGCCTAAAGCATTTGACTGCTAACCAGAAGGTTGGAGGTTTGAACCCACCAGTCACTCCTCAGAAGGAAGATTGGGCAGTCTACTTCATAGAGATACTATCTCGGAAACCCAAGGAGGGGTTGCTATGAGTCGGATCCGACTCGACAGCAGAGAGTTTGGTTTTTGGTTTGTTTAACCTTGGGGGTTATTCAGAAGCTTTCCTCCCCCTCCCCCCGTAACACTACAAGTACTTGACATGTAATATATTTGTTTTGTTTGGTGTATATCTTCCCCCACTGGAATATAAACTTCAGAAAGCAGGGGTTTTGTTTTATTCATTACTGGATTTGTAGCAGCTCAACAACCATTTAGTACCTTGCACATAGAAGGTGTTCAGAAAATAATTATTGAATGAGTGAAATCAAAATTTGAATCAAGTGGGTTGTTTCTGACCATGTTTGTATGTTTTATTAGGCTGTGGAAGGACATAACCATGTTTTCAGTATTTTTACACCTACTATTTACTTACCAACTATCTCATTATCCAACATTTCATGTTTAGGACAATAGTGAAAAATCCTATCTGACTATTTTACATATTACCAGTGCATTTCTGGCAGTAACAAACACCAGGGTATGAGGTGAGAGTATGTGTCAACTTGGCTGGGCCATGATTCTCTGTGTTTTGTTAATAATGTAATGATGTAATTTGGCAGTTCTGTAATGATGAAATTTAGCAGTTATATGATGGTGTAGTCATCCTCCATTTTGTGATCTGATATGGTCATCTCCCATATCATAACACTAATTTTTGTGTAATGACTTGGTCTTTGGAACCTTAACATGTTAAGAGTGAGTGTATATCTTTTTTATTTTTGTCCTAATCCCTACTGCTGTAAACAATTTTATAAAATAAACAATGGGCTTAGAAGTCTTGTTTTTGTTTTTTTTATTGTACTTAAATAAATTTTTATGCACTGAAGGTGCTGCAGTTGATGCCCTTCAAAATGTATCCATGATAGAGGGTGTTAATTCCGCCTTTCTTTCATGCAAAGGATATATCAGTTTCCTACACTTGCTGTGGTTTTGGCCCTACTTAGAACTCATGTTCTAGCTGTGTATATCATATGGATGAAGAATTAATAATTCATGAGGATGGAGAAAAGAAAAAGTTAATGCACATCCCTGTGCATTACAGCACTGTTCACATAGCAAAAAGAAGGAAACAACCTAAATACCCATCAGCGGAGGAGAGGATCAACAAACTGGTACAAACACACAGTGGAATACTATGAAACATTAAAGAACTGGCTAAATATAACGTGGATGAACATAGAGGCCATAATACTAAGTGAAGGTAGTCACCCACAAAAGGACAAATACTGTATGAGACCACTATTGTAAAAAGTCAAGAACAGAATTTCACAAAAAAATATTTTCTGATGGTTGCAAGAAGTGGGTGGGGAAGTGAGGGTAAACCACTAACTAGAGGGTGGATACATATTAACTTGGGTGAAAGGAAAGGTTAAAAAACAGAGTTCCGGTAAGATGGCAGACTAGGCAGACAAACTACACAGGCCTTCTTCAACAAAGAGGAACCAATTAACAGATTGAGAACATAATCCTGAAGCCCAGAGCTTTGAAAGGAAGGATATAGAAGTGGACTAAAGTCCAGTTAGTAAAAGAACCTGTGTGAAAACAGTCAAAAAGACAGACGGAGCTGCAGACTGTCAGCGATCCTGATGGCACAGATAGCTTGGATGTTGCCAAGTGGTGTTATGACCTAAGAACCTAAAAATCACCTCTGCTGGCCAGGGCCTATAGAGAGGACTGCACTAGTGGCTGGTGAATATAAAGGGGAGTAGTGAAGAGAAGAGATGGGCTGAGCTGTGGATTTTTTGCTGTCTGGAGGGTGCAGCCATTTTGAATATTTACAAGCAGTTTGACCATTTTGGATATTTAAAGCAACAGCGTTCTCTCAGATTCCAGGGATGTAAGACTAGGCTCTGCTTGCTGGGGACTGGAAAGGTACGATATTCCCCTGTTGTTGTTACGTGCCTTCTAGTCAGACCCGAGTCATAGTGACTCCTCCTTGGATTTCTGAGGCAGTATCACTATGGAAGATTGCCCAACCTTCCTTCCGAGCAGTGGCTGGTGGGTTTGAACCACTGCCTTCTGGTTAGCAGTCAAGTGCCTTAGGCACGATATTCCCCTAGTTACTCTTACACCCCACACCCTCTTGGTGAACAGAGGTGTGGCCATCCCTCACTCCCACCCACCTTCCTGGCTGGCAGGAATTTCATCCCAGTCTGTGTGATCTGATGGAGCCTAGGTGCCCTACCTCACCCTGCCCAGACATTTTTTTTTTTCTTTTTTCAGTTTGTTTTGTTTTTGTCTGTTTTAAATTTTTTTTTTTTCTTGTTCTTTTTATTGTTATTCTTTCTTCTTCCCTTCCCAGGTTCTAGTTTTTGGCTTTTTCTCTCTTCCCTTTGCTTGGTTCCCATTTGTTTGTTTCTTGTGGTTCCCCCATTCCTTGTTTTTTTTTTTTTTTTTTTGCATATTTCCC